TAACCATGAGGAAACAAGGATGCAGGGGCTGAGGCCTTAGACTTTTGTATTGTTTAGAATGAGAGATTAATGTACCCCAGTATTAGAAATTTTAGGATCCAAACACTTGCATATAAGTAGAAAAAATACAGAGACACAATATAAGTTTGTAATTAACTTTGGAATTTTTCTTTTTTCAACGTAAGGGAGAAGTTCTTTTAGGAATTGCAGGAATTTCACATTCCCTCTACCCTGTCATTTAATTTTAGCACATCATTATTCAGGTCCCTGTTAGATGTCTCAGCAAGAAACCTGTTTTCTCTTTCTAGTTTTACTCTGTCACCTCCAGTTCCTTCGCACCCAGCACAGTGGGGTGTGTGGCTTCAGCTGTCATTGGAACTTGGTACTTTTTGACATTCTTCAGTGCTCTGCCCTGTATGGGACCCGGAACCACAATTTCTAGACTTTCTTGTCATCAGGTTCCAGGCACATTTTACATTATCATGAGAAGAATGCTCATGAGACTCTGTTCTTCAGTAGCAATGGTTGGATTTATGCCTAGGATACTCAGGTGAGGAGTTTTCAGTGGTCTCTGCATTTTCTTGACCCTTACACATCAGGGTGGGGGGAGGGGACTGTGGAAGACCTGTGGAGATGGCAGCATTTGCCTATATGTCCCTGCCTCAGTGACAGCAGCTTTCTGTTCCCTGTGGCAATAAACCTGAAAGCTATTTGCTGTCACCCTGATTTTCAACCTTTCAGATTTTAAAATAGTTTTATAAGTATGACCAGAACTATAATCAGGGATTTTAACCCTGATTGGCGTTACTAAAAATGACATACAGAATCAGCCTACTAAAATCTCACTTATTTTGGATAAGTGAAAATATCTGGCTGGTTAATCAGAGAGCTAATATGAGTTACCCCAGTGGAAAGTCTCAGTGTCTCACCTAACTCCCAGGCCTGCACTTATTCATAAGCCTAAAAATACAGGGAAGGCAGAAAGATCTAATGTTACAACGTTGTATGTGCCATGAATCTTCCTCCTACCTTTCAAAAGGGATCTTGGCCATTTATGAAGGTGACAATGCAATGGGAAAGAGAAATGCCCAATCCTTTCAGGCATTCTCAGACACTGGCTGGATTGATGTTAATATCAGAGGACCTAAACCACCACCATGATCTACAAGTCAGAGTGGGGCTTGTGAAATTTAGAAAACAAGTGGAGTCTTAGCCCAAGTTCATCTCCAGGCCCCAACTTTGAATACTCCATACTTTAAGTGGGAACCCAAGAAAAGTAAGCCCATTTGCAATTTACTTTTGAAAAGATACAAAATAATTTAAAATGTGACAAATCAGGTGGAATGTAATGATCATTACTATCCAAAGTACATGTATGCAGACATGAATTGGTTTGAATATACTATGTATACAACCAGAGATATGAAAAATTGTGCTATATATATGTAATAAGAATTGTAAAGTATTCTGCTGTCATATATAAATTAAAAAATCACATAAAAATAAATAAAACAATGAAAAAGAAAAAAAAATGCACTGTGCCAGGCAAATGATCTTTTAGGTTGTGACCTTTGTAGAATTTGACCTACAAAGGTTTGACCCTTGCAGAATTCCTAGTATTTATTTTCAGCTTTTACTTTTTCTTTGCCTTCCTTGGCACACAGTAGAAGCAAAATATATAATAATGAGTAAAATGTGTTCAACTAGAAAAAAAAAAATAAAGCAGGCTCCATGGCAGGGATTGAGGTTATATAGGACTCAATAAAGTGGTCCAAAAACAAACTTCCACTGCCAAGTGCCTAGCTAGCTAACAGCAGAAATCTGTGTTGACCCTGCTGTATGGCACCATTCCAAAGAGGTGTCAGGTTGACAACATTGAATCTCTTGCAATTTGAAGGGAGTAGTGATTTGTCCTCATTAAAATAGGTATTTGCCTTCCCTGCCCACAAAGCTTCCACTGGCACCGCTGTCGTTGGAAGTATTTAATGCTTCATTTATCATCATGTATCCCTGACCACATCTTCTGACCAAGGAAATTATAATGACGGGGGAAAAAAAGGTCACAGAGATTTCCCTTTTCATTTTTAAAACAAGTAGAACTTCCACACAACATAATCCACAAATCTCATGTGCACATTTCAGTGAAGTTTTACACATGTATATATCCATGTCATCATTGCCCAGATAAAATATAGAACACTCTTATCCTCACCTGTGCTTTCTCCCAGTCAGTATTTTCCCCAAAGACAGCTACTCTTCTGTCCTTTATCACAGTAGATTAACTTCACACGTGAATGTGAATGGAATTGTACAATATGTGCTCTGCTGCTTTGACTTTGTTTACTCAACACTGTACCTGTGAAATTTGTTAATGTTTTTTGCATGATTCAATAGTTCATTATTTTTTCACTATTAAGTAGTATGCCATTTTAGGGCTGTGTCATAATTTATTTACTTATTCTAAGTTTAAGCTCTCTTGGGTACTAAAATGCCAGCACCAAACTGTGTATTTCTCTCCCAGGAAATTAACTTTCCTGTTCCTTTATATATTGGAGAAGTGGCTTTTGCTTCCGCAGAAGTGAAAAAGCTGAAGCGGTTTGTTGCTTTTATTGCCGTGTCATGTTGTGTAATAGAAAGTAAAATGACTGTTATGGAAGGCTAGGTCAAGGTTATGGTTCCAGAAGCTCCCAAATCCTAATTATAGGAGTTTAAAGTTACAAGTTCAAACACAAGTGTTATTGTTATTAAAGAGCATCTGGGGAAATGGGCTACTTGCTATTCATCACCAAGGAAAGGCCGAGAGACTCAGAAGCTATGTTAGAGAAGGGGAGCAGGTAGAAGGGTGAGCAAATGTCCACTTTCCATTTTGAACTCAGGCTTCACCCAGAGCTGAGTAGATGCATGACTTCATCATCTGTTAAGAATTTTTTGTTGTTGTTGTTTTTGTTTTGGCGTTTTGTTTGTTTTTCTGGTACTGGGGATTAAACCCGGGGTGCTTAACGATTGAGCCACATCCCTGTCCCTTTTTATTTTTTTATTTTTTGAAACAGGATCTTGCTAAATTGCATAGGGCCTCAGTAAGTTGCTGAGGCTGGCTTTGAACTTGAGATCCTCCTGCCTCAGTCTCCCGAGTTGCTGGGATTACAGGTGTGTGCCACTGCACTCAGCTGTTGAAGTTTTTTAAATTGAAAAAGAAAGTATCAGGAGGCTTACTTATCTGAAGGGTCTACTTTCAGAATTTAAACCTAGTTAGATTTGTGTTTGATAAACACCTACCTATATCTGAGTAGAATAGGTTTCTCACTGGATTTTTATAACTGTCAAGCATTTACTTGCTGAAGGCAGCAGTGGAACTTGGCTCATCTTTAAACACTTGCCCTTTACCAGTAAATACTCTTAGATACCTTTCTCTCTGTTTCTGGGTCAGTTTACTGCAATTTGTTATTTATACCAAGATAGCATCTTGCTCACCTTTCTGAAGAACTTGACTTTCAGGTCACTGTTACCAGAGAAGGGCTTGTGGAGAGACTTGGATTCAATTATGTAAACTCTGTCTCATCTAGAAAATAGCGATAACATGTACTGGGCAGGATTATTGTTGGAAACAGCAGATACACAGTTAAGCACAAGGCTCAGCTGTGAACAGTAGCTCCTATTGTCTATTTCCTCTGTGAGTGAGGTTAGGGGTTTTCCTACATTTAAAGCAGAGTGGCCTACAGTTAAGTAGGCATCAGACCATCTTTCAGGCTGTCAGTCAATCTGTATTAGTATTTTAATCTTGGAATAGAATCTTCAGTGCAAAGTTTCTATTTTAACAATCCAGATTCTTTTCTCCCTCCCTTTGAAATGTGGGTCCACATTGTATAGATACACAAATACATGCTTTATTGTAAAATAGAAGAAATAAAAGGTATAAGAAGAAAAAAAAAGGATATTTTTAAGGCACTAATCCAAAATCCCAAATAATATTCTGGGTCTTTTTGAAACAAAGGATTTATTCTGGCCAGGGCCAAGGGAGCGCAAAACAGACAGTTTTGCAACCAAGATATTGAACATGGGTGAGGGGGCCACTTAAAAACAGAAAAAAAAAACACAAATAAGGGGAGTGGGAAAGGCAAGTATAATCATAAGACACATTTCATATAGAGTTACCAAGTTCTCAGCATTGGCACATCCCATACCTACTCAGGAAGTAAGCAACAGCTCAATAGTTTAAAGACATTGTGGTCCAGATGCAAGTGGATAAGGTAAAGATGTCAGCCTCAATGTAGTAGGCTCATGCAGAAAGGGGGTCCAGTTCTGCATAGGGTGAGATATCTGAGCAAGATGGCATCAACCCAATTTAACTTTCAAATCAGCCCATAACAGTATATTCTGATATTGGATGAAGTTCAATCATCAAACTTTTATTTTATAATTAGTGCTTTTTGTTTTATGCCTAAATATCTTGGCCTACCTCAAGGTCATAAAGATATTTTCCTCACTAAATTATTTGGAGATAAATTATATTATATTCAAAAGCTCCTGGAATAGCAATTGGTAAATAATAAGCCCTGAAGTGGGGAAAATAAAAAAAATGAGAAAACTGAAAGAACAAATAGGAATGAACGCACACATGGTCTCAATGATACATTCATGGTGTGCTTTTGTCTCTTGGAGATGGTGTGGTGGCTAAAATTTATAAGGATGATAGTTAATATTAATTAAGCACTTACTTTGTGCCAGGCCCGGTGTGTGCATTTCACACATGCTAGTCCATTGTATCTCCTCAACAACAACCCTGTGGGGAAAGTGTCACTATCTCCATTTCACATACTAGGACAATAGAGGCACAAAGAGGTTAAGTAACGTACTCAAGGGAACACAGCAAAGTTAGGACTCAATCTAGAATTTTTTCTCCATGACTCCCTCCTACCCAAGCTTTCTTCCCCCAATATTTTCCATTATCCAATCTATGGCCACAGCCATCTTGTACTGTCATGGCCTCCTGGGTGGCTCCCTCAGTGACCCACTCCATGGTTTCCTCCATGGCCTCCTCTGTGTTCATGGCTATTGCTGTGGCCTCCTCCATAGCCATGACTCCCACTGTGGTTCATTCCATGACCATCTCCATCACCCATGCTGTGTCCAACGCCATGTGCTCCTGCAGGTCCAATCCCAAGTCTTCTTCCAGGGTTCAGTTCATTTCCCAGGCTGTGAAATATTCCAGAGCCCATGCCTAAGTCCAGGTCCAGACTAAGGCCAAGGTTGTGGTCATAGAGGTAATAAGTACCTCTGTTTCTCAGAGGGGAGGAAAAGTCACTCTGAAAGAAAAAAATATTTAAAAATTAAGTACCATCTCTTATAATATACAAGCCTGTTTCACCAATGTGAGATTTTTATTTTTCAAAACTATGTMTTTTCTTACCATCATCCTTACTGTGCTCTCTGTCTCTTTTTGTTATTTCACTCTTATTCTCTCTAGAAATCAAACTCCCTGACACTATATTAATATACCCTCTTTATGTGAAGACTCAGGCCCTGGCTCAGCAGCAGCATGGTCAGGTTAC